GGGGCAGAAGAGTTTCCCTGGTTCGGCCCGGAGTGGCCACCAGGGCAAGCTGGGGAGGGCTAGCCTCCAGCTAGTTCGAATTAAGTGGCTACACAGCCCTTAATTTGAACTACTTAATTCGAACTAGGCGTTACTCCTCGTAGAATGAGGTTTACCTAGTTCAAATTAAGCGCTTCGATAGTTCGATCTGTTAGTTTGAATTAACTTTGTAGTGTAGACACACCCTAACAGAGTTGGTTAAATTGCAGAATTTTTGGATCATTGGCAGGTCTGACACATTCAAAAAATTCAGTTTGGGTAGAAGGCAACTGCATATCTTTGAATGCAGTGTTGAAAAAGATGATAGGTAGAGTGTGGACAAATCATGGGGGGCTTTCAATGGGAAGACAAGTAGTTTGTGTGTGATGCTGTGGAGAGAGGGAACTCAGCAAAGGGTGATCTGGTCAAAATGATAGGCTAGGGCAATGACCTTGTAGCTGCACCCTGAGGCCTGGTCTACGCTACAACCTGACTCCAAAATTAGGACCCCACGATCAATTATGTAAATGATATGTCCACACTACCAAGCCCATTTTTCTGCAGTTAGGGACTACGGAATTTGAACCCTATAATCCTGCTTTTCACAAAGAGTAACTCTATTCCCGACCTTGCATGTCCGGAATAACAGTAGTGTAGACACTCCAATGCCATTAATTTGACCTAATTGGCCTCCCGGAGGGCTCCTGCAGTTGTCTGCTCTGGTGTCTCCACTGCTCCGCCCTCCTGTGGAGCTCTAGAAATCCTGGGAACTGGGGAAGTGCCTGTCCCATGTGGCTGAGCCCTGTGCGACCAACCAGCACACCACCCGTTGGACACCCTGATGGCTGCAAGCACTTCTGTTCCCACAGCCTCCATGGCCCAGGGACATAAAAGTACTCCAGCCTGGAATGCTAGGGAGATCTTGGACCTCATCAAGGTGTGGGCAGAGGAGTCTGACCTCCACAAACTCTGCACCAAGAAGAGGAATGTCAGCATTTATGGTAGGATCACCACCAAAAGTCACACCAGGAACCTCAAGCAGTGCGGGCTTAAAATCAAAGAGCTATACCAGTCCTACCAGAAGGCCAGGGAGCAGAGCAGATGCTCTGGGCGACACCTCCTACCTGCTTCTATTATGAACACCTGGATGCTATGCTAGGAAGGGAGCTGGTTACCTCTCACACCATGGTTGTTGAGTCCTGGTGTCAGCCTTCAAGAGGGCGGGGTGACAGGAGGACGACGAAGATGTGAAGGAGGAGGAGGACATCCAATTGATGATACCCAGGAGCCAGGAGCTGCTCATCACTTTAGAGCCAGTCCCCAATTCCTAGGACCAACTCCCAGGCTTCCAATGACCCTGGGGA